TCTGGGGTTGCCCTCCCTCCGTTCTGCGCTCCGTGGTTTGCGATGGTCATACTGGCAGCACCTTCTGCCGCTCCCATGCCAGGGCCACCGCACGGCCAAGCTCCGGCCCACCGCCACTGCCCAACCTGCACCTGCGGACCAAATGCCGCAGCTGCCGGCAGCGGGGTCGGACCCCAGTGGGGGCTGGACTAGAAACAGCCGAGATCTTAGGTAGCCAGGAAGCGTCCCAGGGGTAGAACCACCTTACTGTAGGAGTAAGTAACGACACGTTGTTTGTTGTTCTCCCTAATAAATCTTTTCAAGTTGCCTTGTCCTGTCTCTACAGTCTCACAGTCGCTGTCTCCACACCCGGGCGGGGGGTTGCATGCAGGGACATGAAGGGTTTGGCTCCAGCCCAGGAAAGCCAAAGGCCCTGTGCAATTGCTTATGTGCAATTGTAATTAAAGTTTTATAGGATGGAAAATCCCCAGGATTGAGGACGTGGAAAGGGCCAGGCAGGAGGGGAGCCCGGTGCGCTGTGTTTGCCCATTCTTGATGCCGCGCATCCCCTGCACACCGGACTCAGCACAGAAACATTTATTAGCAGCATATTAAAAAAATATATGTATATTAGACATTGATTTCCAAGAGGTTCTTGGCACGATCAGTAGTAGCAGCGGGAACAGCAGCAAAACTGAATTCAAGTCCAGGTATTGCAAAAAGTCCCCCTTGCCCTTGCAAGTGTCCGGCTGTGACCTGCTGGGTGGAGTCCTGTCCCCACCTTGAATGCCACCGCCCCAGGGCTGTCCCTGAAGGGATGACGGTGTCTTAACAGCTCCCGCTGGTGTGGCAGCGCTGGCTGGTACTTGGTAACTTCGTGTTTCTCTCTTTTTTTTTTTTTTTCCCCTGTTTGAGTTCATTTTTGAGATGAAGTGATGCCAAGGGCTGGAGAAGTCCTTTGTGGCCCCCCAGCCTGCACAGGCATCTCCTGCTCCCGCCTTGCCAGCATCGCATGGGCTGGGCAGGGAAAAATTAAAAAAAAAATATTAAAAAAATGAAAAATAAATTTAAAGATTCGTTTTTTCTCTGCAATTCAATGTGGGGAGTGCCCCCAGCCCAGGGGCACTTGGCTGCTGAACTTAGAGGCAGGGGGGACATGGAAGTGGCTCAGAGGCTGCAGCAGCGCAGGGGGGGCCGTGCCGGTCAGGAGAAGGGCAGCGACCAGCCCCGTGCTCCCCTGCAGTCACCCAAAAGCAGCCAAAAATCACCTGGAGGGACAGTGCAAACAAACAACAGAACACTGCCAGCTGCTAAGCCAGGCAGGAGGCGGCGGCTCAGCCCCCCCAGCCCCAAAAACACGCGTGCGGGGGAACTGCTGCTCTTTTGACGCCCTGAGCCGAGCGAGCCGCCGTCCCCGGGCTCCCTGAGCTTTCTCTTGCACCCGAACTCATGCCAGCTAAAGCAAGATTGCAGCCTCCCTTCAGAAGCAATTACGCACGCTGCGGTCTATGCAAAGCTGCAGAGGCTTTTAAAACTTCAAGTGGGCACTCAAAAGTTAAAAAAAAAAAAAGAAATGAAAAATCAATGGATCTGGAGGTTTTTTTCCCTAAGCATCTCTCGTCTGTCGACAAGGCAGCAAGGGAAAGCTTGGCTGTGGTGGAGTGGAGCAAGCACTGGGCTCAGCCCGCTGCTGCCCACAAGCCAAGGTCTCGGGGGGTCAGAGGAGAAGGATCTGCTTCGAGGACGTGAAGGGCTTCATGGATGCCTCCAGTGCTGCCTTGTAGTCCTGGAGCGGGACCTCGGTGCAGGCCGGCGCGGTGAGCTGCCCCCTCCGGATGAGCTGGCACACGGCGTCCATCATGCTGGCCAGGCCCTCCTGGTCTGCAAAGGAAGGAGAGGGCTCTCACCGTCGGGCGTCCCGCACCTGCGCCGTGCCAGAGCCACCCACCGTCCCCGGCAAACACCCGCCTGAAGCCCTACAGGGTCCCAGGGATGCCAGGGTGCGATGTGCTCCCAGCTTGGGCACGTGGGATGGGGCAAGAGCCCCCGGCATGGTGGCACGCTCCTTGCCCGAGCCACACTGCCCAGCGCCAGCGTCTCAGCCTCCCTGAGGACTATCAGCACTCACGACACAAGTAAGAGCAAAGAGGA